TATATACATACATGTTTGTGTCCCGGTTGTATCCAGCACCACACGACATACTACAATCCCTCCGATGCGTGTAGCACATACACACCTGCGACCACAGCAGACATACTACCATGTCGTTTAAGCACGTGCTGCTCAACGTTTACAGCCCCGCCCTTCCCCGCTGATCCAGCCAGCATGTCCACAAGCTTAGTCCGCTTGCTCCCCTGTGCGTTGTTGTTGGTGTGCGTGGTTTGCAATTTGAGTGCCCCGGCGGTGATATCCTCTAAGCCCTTGCGTTTGAGGGTCTGCACCGACGCTTTTAACGCTTGGTTGTCCTTTTTTAACGCGTTCACCTGGTTGGTGAGGCCGGATAGGATTGCTAGGTTTTTCTGTTATCGATTAGGGTTTAAAGAAGGTAAGAATTAGTTCAAAGTATATGGGAACAGATGATGTGCGTGTGTGGCTGTGCGTGTGTGGCTGTGCGTGTGTGGCTGTGCGTGTGTGGCTGTGCGTGTGTGGCTGTGCGTATAGTTTCGGTGCAATCAGTTTCAACGAGTGCAGGTCAAAATTTGGTCAAACAGATATAAGAAGGATAGGACAGTATACGAAGTACAGTGTATATTCTAATGTATATATAAATATATATAGTGATATATGATTTATATGTATATAATGTGTATATTGTAACTCAATACTAACGAGAATTGATACGAAATCGGTCAAGAAAGGGTGACGACATCTCATAGGTGTGCGTATGCCCACACGCGCCAACTAAGCACCAATAGACTAACACCGTTCACCCACCCACAACCTGTACATCTCTAACAAAACCCTAAAACACTAAACCCCTAGCTCCTACATCACTCACCGTCTGTGCCACAGTCGACAGTGCCACCCGCAAGTCGCCGCTGTCACCGTCATCTCCAACGGCTGCAGTCCGCTGGTCGTGTGTTGGGGCTGTGATATCACTTCGGTCAAGGTTTGGCTTGGTATCATTGCCCCCACCCGTGGTAGGCTGGGGTAGGGTTTCAGGGAGTTCAGGGTTTTCCAAACTGCCTATACGTTGCTGGTGTAGTTTAGCCTTGGTGTCACACAGAGTCTCCTGTGCAGTGGTCAGTTGCAGTCGCAGTACGGTGCACTGGTCACAGTTGTGTAGAGCGTCTTCAGCCACACATAAGGACTTCCTCACCTCGTGCAGCTCGTGGTCCTGTCCATAGGGACAGATGGGAGTATGGGTATATATTTGCATACAGATAAGGATGAGTATGTATTTGAGTAGAGATAGGAATATTTGCATAAATTTGGATATGGATAGGAATGAGTGTGTATATGGACATGGATAGGAAAACGAGCATGTACTTGGATACAGATAGGAATGCGTGTGTATTTGGGTAGATATAGGCATACGAGAATATATTTGGATATAGAAAAGGAAGAGTATGTATTTGGATATAAATGGAAATACGTACATATATTTAAATAGAGAAGTTATACGGGCCCTAGCTTTCGAAAAGAATGTCACGTCAAAGACTGCGCCCTATGTGATCTGATACTCCTTGCATGCCAAAAGACAATACGTATACGGACACAAGTCCAAAACACGCACACGCAAAGAAAAACATCGCCATAACAGTCATCATCTGAGGATATTGTTCAAGAAAGTTTTAGGTGCACGCTCTACTGATTTGAGACTTGTCCGATTCCCTAATGGTGAAATCGAAGAAGTACTGAATAAGGATGATATAAGATCACAGAAACACTCATCGTCACATTCAGTGTCGTATAGTGACGGACATAAATATATACACACATATATATATTCAATATTACACACACACACACACAGGCACATAGACGCACAGACACACAGACACAGACACACGCACACACACATATATATAAAATAAAAAAATAAGTAAAT